GCCAACTCCAAAGCCAATTTAGACGCGAAACTTCAATCAAGGCTGCTTAGCTGGCTTAGCTCTCTCATGCAGGAAGCACTGATCACACTACGCGCGAAAATTTCGCAGACTTCGACCCTCTGGTGAACTCAGGGGTGCTGTGCCCCTGGTTGCCTCCCCCCCCCAGCGGTTAGGAGCTTTTGCCTCAGATCAACCATAGACCCTCTTCTACAGCCTCCGTTGTGTTGGCTGGCGCCGCCCAGGTCAAGTAGCCTGGCGCACAGGTGCTTGAAGACATGCGCAACTGATACTTGTGTGCGCCTTTGCACGTGCGAGGCCTAGACCAGCAAAGGGTACGGAAGAACGAGGGAAGGCATCAGGCCACTGCAATCGGATCTCCCCCAAACCCTACAGTTGGGCACCTCCCAGCTCAAAGGCATCGAGGTCGCAGTCTGGGAAGGTAAGATTCCGCACCTTCACAGCAATGTGTCGTAGGAATCACAGGAATCACAGGTCCGTTCGGGCGTTCAAGCGCCTAAAAGCACCCTGTATCTTCGTTGGTTTGCCGGCATATATCGTCAGGTGTTCACACGCAAAGCTGTTCATGCTTCTGGGCAACGCCTATGGGCCTATGCTTTGTGGAAGATCGATGGACAGATTTGACAAAGCGAGGAATGGGCACTGCCTCAATCAGCTTGGAATTCAATAAACCTGGTCTGTAGCAACTTCAGCATACCGCCGGAACCTCTACTGACTGCCGAGATATGTCCTTCCCGAAGAGGGTACTGCCGAAGGCCTTAAGATTGAACCAGTCTCCATTGCAGCATGGCAGCTGTGCCGTCCGCATCATAAAGCAGCGCAGACACGGGAGTCGTCTGCTCCTGGCTCCAGGAGCTGCTCGGAGGTTACAAAGGGGGTGACTATAGAACAAGTCACTGACAAGTCAGTCAAGACAAAAGAGGCTTGGTTTCGGGTCTTGCGGGAACTGTGCCCCGGGCTTGTGCACCCCTGTCAGAGGCTAATAAAGGCTCCGGCCCCAACAGCCCAACACCCTCCAAACAGGAGCCTAAAGACACGGACCGGCTCCCAAGTAGCCATGTACCTCGAGCGAAGACGCCGCATAGACCAGGACATAGTCGAAGCTCGAGCTCGCCGTGTCTGCTGCCAGCGCTACCTTGAATCTCGACACGCTCATGAGCAAGCATGGGGCCTCTAGGACAAGGTAGAGCTGGACCAACAATCCCAAAAATTGTCTTCGGAAGCCGGATGTAGCAGGTCGGGAGGCTGTTGCGGAACGAAAGGGCTTCGCTTGTGCCAGGATGCCAAGTTGGTGCCAGCCGGGCTCGATCCGATCTGGGACTTGGTAAGCCCGGTGGCAGTGGAGGAAAGATAGACACCTCAGTTCGACAGAGTTTTTGGGAGGATGGGGTTTCCCGTATGAGCTTATAACCTGTACAGGCCGCACTTGTGGGGTGCCTGCTGTCTGCTGTGTCCCAAGCTGAGGGTTCGACTATAGGAGGTCAGCCGGCCATCCAGCAGGGAAGGAGGCTGCCAATGCCTGGAGCAAACATAATGAAACACGTTGACATGTTCTTGCGCATGCCGACGGTGGCTGCCGGAGCGGGAGAAGTCACTCTTTTGGGGTGAGAAAAGGTATTTGGATTGTTACGCAGGACATCGGGAGCTCTGAGGCTCCCGATGTAGCTTCGGGTTCTGTACTGGGGGCTTTGCTGTGGGCTCTCGCGGGGCCCGATTTTTTCTTAAATGCAAGCGGAGCGACACGTCACCGCCGACTTCAGACAGATCCAGGTCCTGAGGAAGACTAAGTTTCGACTCTCCGATTTCTAATCCCGGGAATGTTTCCCATTGCGTTCTGGCTCTGGAATTTCTTCGATTCGACCCGTCCTTGTCGCTGAACTGAATATTGCTCACTGAGCCGTCGTAGTCCTCTGCATGGCTCGGCATGGGTGCAGCTGAAATCGGGCTAAGGGAAAATTCCCGGGCCTAAAGATCAGCAGCCGACTGTTTAAAGTTTGACGTGTGCACGGCTCCTTTTTTAGCATGTTTTGTTGGTTCAGGGTGATTCGGGTGTACTGCGGTGCTGCACAAGACAGGACACATGCTTCTTCACGCACACAAGGCTTGAGGTCTCTCAAGGTTAGCAGCGGGCTCCTGCACCGCAAGGGAGGCTGGCGTCGATTGCTCCACCAAAGTTGAGCTGGTATACACAACACCTTAGAAGAACAGGACAAAAGCGAAACACACACACACACACCAGCGTTCGGACTCGCACGCATCTTTCGGCCGGCCGATGGCGCACTGTCCTGAAAGCATACTGACCTTGCCCACGGCCTCCTCCCGCGAGATGCGAGTTCCATGGTTAGAACAATTTTATCCTGGGCTTTTGCTCTTCGCCAGGGCTGCCCTCGAAAGGACCAATGTCGTGACTACTGAATTTAGGAACTGTTGAAGCGGGCTTTCCAAACGAAGCACTTCCGGCTTGGAGGGTCGGACCACGCCCCTAGTGTTCGATCTCATGAGCACCACCCACGCAAAGCACCGGCAGAGTCGGCAGAGTCGGTGTCTCGAGCGCTCGTCTCTAAGATTGTGCAATCTGTTGGACTGCCCTGCTTTTGCAACACTATGCCCGGAACACGCACCTTGAAGACACTCCCTAAACCCTGCACCTTTTGGTAAGCGCGGCGCTGTGCGAGAATCCTGTGAAGTCTGAGTTGGCTGGCACGCTGGTGTTGGAAACATAGTTGCCGCCAGACACCTGCAGCATTTGGCGACCAAGCGTAAAACCACTCACTTACGGCATTTCGGGATATGCCTACTTTGGACCCTGAAATCCTGAATTCGGATCCCAGTCCTAGCCTAGCAGCCCATCCACACTTCGGACTTCGGGGTAGGAGGCTCCAAGGCTTGAGGGTTCACCCTTTTCTTCTGCTCAGAAGCGGTTCGACAATCAGGGGCTCCGTTTCGTGTGTTCGGGTGCCCTCCGACAAACTCCGAGTCGCATCGAGGGATGCCAGCTGCGACCGGTTCGTGCCCAGCGCGTCCACAGCGAAGTAGACCTCGCATGCATTGCGTCAGTTGCTAAAGGCATGCAGTGGACAATACTGCTTGAGGCGATTCTAGGTGTCGGTTTTCAGCCAGTGCGGTCCCCAAACTTGAAAATCTATTGGCCCCACCAGGCGCCTGTACTGATTTGACAACATTGTGATTTTTGTTGATGCCATGCCCGGCAAGTGCCTTCTCGCAAGACCAACGATTCAGCAAGGCCCTGAAACGTCTCTACGTATCTGCGCCGAAACGCCCCAACTTCTGATCAAGGCTGAAAATAGTTGAGAGGCATTTAATGCGCTGACGTAGGTCATCTCGGTCGGAAGCGACCTGGGTGAGGGAGAGATGAGTTCCCGAGTCCTTCCCATGTTTTTGGGAGGGGCTCAGGCGTTTAAGGCCTGAACCGGTGGCTCGCTCCCAAGATTATGGCCTATAGAACTCAACAGAACCAAACAGGCATAAGGGTGGAGACATCAGGGTCAGGAGCTCCCATGAATGGGGAACTGGGATCTCGAGGCATGGCCTCAAAGGAAAGAGACAAAGAGACTAGCAAATGATAGTGAGATTCCCCTTCCAAGGCCTAGGGCCTATGACTTCCTACAGAAGCCTGCAAGTCGCACTCAGGGCCCTGCCAGTCCAGGGTTCCTCCGACCTCCCCGCTGTCCAGGTCCAGGTCCGGAAAGGCCTCGGAGCCGCCACTTGGGGGGGGGGGGGGGGGGGGGGGACTCTCTCCAGATTCTTTTTGAATTTGGAAGCCTATTGAGGTTTAAGCCTTCAGCTTTGGGGTGCGGGGGCACTCTCAGAGATGTGCTACTGCATTCTACCCTGGACAAGCTCTTCCATTCCTGTAGAGCACTCAAGACCACCTGAGGGGCTGCGGTTGTGTGCCTGAGATGAAATCAATGTCCTCAGGCCAAACCGTACCGATGCGCCGAAACAGCAGCCCACCCCACGACACTTCAAGGCCCGAGCCAAGCTGGACACAGAGGCCACCGTGTCTGAGAAGGTGAAGGAGGCGGGGGTGGACTGCCTTGGACTTAAGTTGGACGAAATTGGAGTGTTGAAGTCGTTTCAGTGTCTGCAAGGCCTATGGGACCTTTCGATGGACGGACCTCATAAGTTTCGATATACAGTTGGGACTTCCTCCTTCGGCTCCAGGTGCTCCACCAATGTCGACCGCGTGAAGACCACAATGTCCTTAAGTTGAGAGGGGTCTGTCTGCACCGGGGCTTGCTGCACAGCGTAATGGCATATGGGTGTATGGGCCAGTGGGAGCGCTGAAGCCGTCGCTTTTCTAGGGCTGGAAGACGGAACAGCTTGGAAGTGATTTGCCCTGCGCAACAGTATGAGGATCTAAACGCCGTGGATTCCCGCATCACCTCCCTGCCAAACGTTCCAACCCCTTTCGAATCAATCTGACAGCCCCTCCCTCTCTGCCGGAGCCGCAGGAACCAGAAAGGCAGAAAGGGAGAAGCAGCACCGCAACATTTGGGGCTCAGATGGGCTTAGCAAAGCGCTCCGCGATTTCTTTCAATGCGCTAAAAAAAAAGGGTTCCAAGTCTGCACTGCCGCGGGTCGGTGTTGGATCCAATGGCTGTATCCGGGGGCATGTCCAGAACTGTGGCCCCGTCCACATGTGGGACTCCATCTTCAATCCTCATCTGAGCAGTGCTCTAGCAGGTGCTTGCAGGCGCCTTTGGTTGGGTTCAGGGTGCATGACCGTGTATGCGGCCACCACGATCTTGCCGAAAAAAAGGGGTTGGGGGCATGAAACGAGCACACCAACCCAAAAGACGAGGCTTCAAGTCTCAAGCTGAGACACTGGGACTTGTATGTGCCAAGACCGTCTTGCGCAACATAGGCCAGATAGGCCTTGGTTCGCTCTTCACAAATCAAAGCGACTGGTAGGCTTGAGTGCAGGGTGAGGGTTAAAAACGAGAAGAAGCTATGAGAGGCTATGAGAGGCATGTGGAGGGGGGGTAGATAGGGTTGGAAAGCTTCCAGAGATTGGAAGGGACGTGGCTCTTCTGACTTCCGGTGTGCCACAACGTCAAGCCTCTGACGAGGCGCACCTCTTGGAACATAACATGCGGGGGAGGATGTTTCTCAGTCCTCCACCCCTGGGCACTTGCTGACAAAGGCGCCGAGACGGCTACCGTACGTGCAGGGGGATCCCACTTGATGGTTCCGCCAAGTTGGGTTTCGTCTAGGTCCAGATCCACAAAGCTCACGTTTGCCGCCTCGGATGACATGCAACACTGCAGAGCGTCATGACCGTTTCCTCTCATCTACTTAAAAGGTTCCTTTGCAGGCCCTAGAGGCACCAGTTAAACTCTTCAAAGCACACAGGCACAAAGCCTGCAAACCCTAGACCCAAATGCTGACAACGACCCCTCTACATGCCACGTAGATACGTATGTGTGTGAACATGTACCTTTTTAATGGCCGCCCTTTGGGCCCCAGAGTTCTTTCAGGCATACATCCGAGGCTGAGTGCTGATCAGGTTACAGGCCATCTTTTCTTGGCTCATAATTATGTTGCTTTGCGACGACATTGCGTGCCTAAGGCGGATGTTGAACATCACTCCGTCCAAGCAGCGCTTGCCACCTCATCGTAGATAAGCCAGGTCGAGGGCGTGCGTTGCTCGATACTTGGCGAGTTTGATGTCACGGCCAGGTAAACGTAAGACCTCGAGGGCTTCGGCTAAGCCTCCGACTCTAGGAGTCTACCTCCCATTGATGGCCGTCTGTGGAGTTTACGGGTAGCGTGCTCGGGGGCCCTGCACAATCGCTGCCTTTCAGTTGTTGGTAGCACGCCACTTCCTAAAAAATTCTGATTGTGAGAAGAACGCCAATCACACCCGAAAGCCGTCCCCCGAAACCCTACATTAACGACCTAGGATGCTACTTTCGCCCACTGCCGGATCTAAGCTGCCCGCTGAAGGGGTGTGTCAGGAGCAATCACCTTGTCGGTCAAGCCAACCTCGGCGTCTCTGTGCATTAAGGCATACACTCATCCCTCAATAGCTCTACACATCCACACACACGTAAGGAAATGGACAGCAGAAACAAGATCAGGGAGCCACGATGTGTGTGATCAATGGGAGGACCGCCACTTACTTCAAAAGTTAAGCAGACTAAGCAATATGAGGTCCATGTGTCCATGTCATGGTTCCTGTGGACCACATGCGCAAGGCCGAGCGCTGTGATGCCCTGTGTTTTTCGCCGGGGAGCATCGACCTCTTCCAGAAGAGATGTGGTGTCGCCACCTTGAGGCGGAGATGTCGGCATGAGCTGGATCACATCGACTCACTTGAGAGCTCACTAGGACTACATGAGCTGGGGCACTCTGGGTGGTTCCAGTCGTAGAGAAGTAGACGCGGAAGAACGTCACATCTCCGATTACCTGGGCTGAAGGGTCTTGCCCGACAAGTTGCAGACTGTCTGAACTAGCTCTTACGATGCAGCTTCTGGGGTTTTGGCATTGGTTTGGGATACAACTTGATCAGGGATTTAGCTGGGATTGCACAGCAAACACCACAGTAGCTCCCAGGCACACTTGGCTCAGCCCAGGACAGGTTCCTTGGGTGTGGCGAGACGGGTTTCTTGGGCTCGGGATGGAGCCCCTCTTCAGATGCGGGAATACACACCCTTCAAGGATGATGAGCAAGAATTGCTTACATCATCAAAAGACTTCCATAAAAAAGAACGTTCTATGTGGACAGAAATACCCTGACAGTGAGAGCCATCAAGGCCAGAAGGCCCAGCGATCTCGCCCTCGTCCAGGTCGCCGTCCGAGAAGAACAGGTCTCGGGCCTCAGGGACAGGAACGCCCTGACCAGCTCGTGACTTCGTGACTTGGAGCCCTTGCCATCATGAGCCCGTTGGACGGCCAAGTTGCAAAGCAAGAAAAAGAACTAGCAGACCCCTGCGAAAGAGCCCTATGCCAAACACTACCTCGAACACAGAGATAGAGGAGGCCCCCAACTCAGAGCCTGAGAGTGAAAATGTGTCAGTTGGCCTAACCGTCAGAAAAACCCATCGAGCACCTGGAACAAAGCCGCCGCATCTGCAAACTTGATGAAAGCCTGGCATGCGGCAGCGCGGGCTTCTGCACTAGCGACCCCCAAGGCAAGAAGGCCCTTTCGTGACGGCGACCGCAGTTGTGGCCATAGGGGCATTGCCAGGCTTCTGGGAGTTTAACTACTGTGCTTACCGCGCTATAGGAGAGTGAACTCCATACGACAAGAAAAACAATACTCAAAAACAGCACAGCGGCAGGGGTGGTTTGCTCCGCAAGGGACGATCTCGCATAGACAAGGAAGTGGGTCTGGCTGCCCCGCGTCAGAGCATTCGAGAAGCTAAGCCTGAGCTGCTGCACAGCCAAGAACTCCACGGCAGCAACATGCAGTCCTAAAACAGTACAGCAGGCACTCCTCTTCAAAAACCTCCCTTCGGACTCAATACTCGCTGCATCCAAGGGGGCAGGTTGGTTCCCACAGGCGTAGCTGCTCCAACCTGACTCGGTTGAAAGTAAAGGTGAGAGACTGTGCAATATGAAAGCATATGTCAGCCATCAAGATCCGCCAATACAAGGGAGCCACAGCAAGAGTTCTAGCAACCGGGCTGAGAGTGAGAATCATGCTCAGCTCTCTCTGAGGGCCTGAGAGCGAGTGTCGCCAGTGGAGCTCGTTGCGAGGTACACGACATAGTCCTCCAGCCACATGGACTGAATTGCATCCACTCTGTTTCACTATGCAGGCCGCCGCGCGAGTCCTGGATATTTTGCGTCTGCGCCGACGAGGCCTGCCAGGCAACTGTGCACACCACTATCATGACACTGATGCAAAACTACCCCAGAGGCAGTGTGACACATTGTGACACTAACTTGCCCATCGAATCTGCACAGCCTGTGGAGTCCACTGCAGAGTGCCCTCCAGATTGTCCAAGTTCAGGTCCTAGCAGACTCGGGCCGGGGCCCCAACACAAGCCAAAGCCCCTCACTTAAGGGAGGGAGCTTGCGGAAGCTGGGAGTTTGCGGGCTTGCGGCTTGCGGCCCTGGCCGTTTTTAGGCCTCGGAGGCACCGCGGTTCTCCAGCGCCCCCGGTTTTCTTACTGCAAAGAGCTATAAGAGCACGAGTCGCACGCCAGGCTCAGTCTAAGAGTCTTTGGAGTCTTGAGAGTCTTTGTGGCCGTTCGGCTTCTTGTGGGACTTGAGGCTTTCAGGCTCTTTCCGGTACGCGTTCTGAACCTTCCAGCCTGGCCGACGAAGAACGGGGCATCCACTGTGCCGTTCGAGTCAAAGATCAATAGCTCAGCTGGGGTTGTCTGCTCGATGAGGCTGGAGAGCGTGTACACCTCAGGGACAGGTGCAAAGTTCCCAAGGCTTCGGCCTTTGCTGGGTTCAGTGTTGCGACCCGTGCTCTTCTGAGTTGTGCTGCCTTCTAGGTCCAGCGTGTCCGAAAAAGGGCCCAACGGGGGAGCGGGAAACTCGGGAAACTCGGGAAACGCGGCAAACTCCTGAAACCAGAAATTGGAGTCGCCCAAACGTTGCTTTTGTTACGGTTGTTTTTCTTTGCGGGCTCACCAGCAACAAGATGCTCTCACAAGCCCTATGGACAGTATGGCTGTGGACAGGTATAGCTTCTTGGACGAGGCGCCAACCAATAAGTGTAGTCTGACCTGTTCGTCTCTGCCGGGACGGAGAGGTTGGTGGCTCCGTAGCTGAAGTTCGCAAAGAGCGACCGAACGTTGCCCACAGCATCCTCGGCAGAGACAAGGCAGCGCGCGGACTGCCTTTAGACCTTCATTCCTGAACTTGAAGGGGAATGCACAAAGTAACTAGAGGTAGGGAGGGCCCAGCTATGCAGCTATGAGAATATGAGGTGTACCGAAATACGTTCACAAGCAATTCGGATCGAGGCTTGTTTGCCAGGGCAACATCCCTTCTTCCAAGTTGCTTCGGCCAAGTAGACCATGTACTGCTCGATCTCGCTCGTCATGATGGGGTCGGACCACGAAAGAGTTCCTCTGAACCGATTCTGAGCCGCACTACTAGTGTTAGAAAGGAGACCGCTCAAGCCTCCGATTTCTCCGTAGTCAAGGTCCAGATCAGGGAAGCTGAGATCTTCGGCCGTAGAATTCCTCGGAACGGAATGCTTACCATGGTATCTGGTCGTTATAGGAAACAAAAACCCTGAGCTTTGCTTGTGTGCGGCCGAGCTGCTGGTCTGTTACCTGGAATGAAGCTGGCGTCGTCTGCTCCACGAAGGAGGACTCCGTATAGACTAGCAGAGTCGACCGGCCATAGGTCCTTTTTCTGTGGATTGTAACAGCCGTAGGCCCTTCTGGGGCTCGTAACGTAGGGTGTTTGATTTCCTTTCGGCACTCCTAAACGACCCGTGCCCTCATCCTTTTCTCGGCCATTCGAGGCTTCCAGTTTAAGCCTACCTGGACCCAATCTGCTTCCGAGCTGCGGATACCTCAGTCAAGTCCAAACACAGGCTGCAGAACGGCTGAGAGAGGGGGTTTGGGGTTCCCGGATGTAGAAATGTTTCTACGGGCGGGGCTTTAAGGCGTCACCCTGGCCAGCACATGGTTTCGGAGGGGAATGGCCGCAACATGTGGACACCAAAGCAGAGCCAACATGAGCAAACCCATCAAGCACCTGAACTCCAGAACCTAACGCCTCTGCTGGGGCACTCTGGTGCCAAGTCCACAGCGTCCTTAGGACACACCCCTGCAGTCGCTGGGAGACTGGGGAGACTGGGGGTGGGGCTTATAATTACACAGATGCTGACGATCTGTAATCTTTGCGTTTAGCAGGAAAAGTGGAGCCGAATTTGCCACGCAGGATTGGTTTCAGATTCAGCCTTGATCCATGCATGGAATGACTGCAAGCGCATGCAGCGGGAAAGCCTTCAGAAGACCCCAACTGAAAGCATGCACCACAACAGCGAGAGCCATGTGAGGCGGGCAGAAGCATGAAAATGCATCGGCCAAGCATCGATACCGAAATCTGGAGCATCCGAGCTGATGTCCTCGCCAGCAACGAATGTTCGCAAAGGCTTGCACTGGGTTTCAGCTGAGGAGGCCAAGTTCATAAGAGGCCAACTTCGTGACGTTCAATGATCAGGTGGCTGGCTACCCCAATTACAGAATAGCCCCAAAGCCTAAACTTCTCCGAAATCCTTCAAGGACGTTGACGCGCAATGATGCGTACGACCAGGCTTGAGTGCAAGGTTTGCAGCCCCTGGCCAAAGCCATCTTGACCCCCTGTTGACTCTCGCCTTTTTGTGTCACCTTCCTAGACAAACAACTTCTTGCTCATGTTCATCATCTGAGAACCATCTGGGATATGGACTCGCAAAGTCAGAAAGCATAAGATGCGCAGCCTTGCCGACTGTTGCACAGCTCTACGGGCTTGACAGCTGAGCTTGCACCGCACTTGTGTCACCACCACTGCCTGGGTCGCCCCAGGTCACAACAGACCCATCGCCCAGAATGGCAACAAAAGCTGTGTTGGTACCTTGGATCTGCTGCACGTCCTTCAGCTGATCCTGCACAGCACTGCTGTCGCCACCAGCGCCGGCATCGCCCCAAGTCACAACAGACCCATCGCCCAGAATGGCAGCAAAAGCCGCGGCGGTAGCTTGGATCTGCTGCACATCCTTCAGCTGAGCTTGCACAGCACTGCTGTCGCCACCAGCGCTAGAACTGCCCCAGGTCAAAACAGATCCATCGCCAAGCACTGCAGCAAAAGCATCAACAGTAGCTTGAATCCTTTGCACGTCCTTCAGCTGATCTTGCACGTGACTGCTGTTGCCACCACCGTCAGCATCGCCCCAGGTAACAACAGACCCATCGCCCAGAATGGCCGCAAAGGCTATTTCAGTAGCCTGGATCTGCTGCACGTCCTTCAGCTGAGCTTGCACAGCACTGCTGTCGCCACCAGCGCCAGCATCGCCCCACGTAACAACAGACCCATCCCCCAGAACTGCGGCAAAAGCATACTGAGATGCTTGAATTGCTGAACGCCTTTCAGCTGATGTTCCACATCACAGCTGTCGCCACAATCATCGCCCCAGGTTACAACAGACCCATCGCCCAGGAGGGCAGCAAAAGCAAAGCCAGTAGCTTGAATCTGTTGGACGCCCATCAGCTGATGCTGCACAGCTTTGCTGTCGCCACCTGCTGCAGAACTGCCCCAGGTTACAACAGACCCATCGCCCAGAATGGCAGCAAAAGCGTTGTTGGTACCTTGGATCTGCTGCACGTCCTTCAGCTGATCCTGCACAGCACTGCTGTCGCCACCACTGCTAGCACTGCCCCATGTCACAACAGATCCGTCGCCCAGAATGGCAGCAAAAGCATTCATGGTAGCTTTGATCTGCTGCACATCCTTCAGCTGAGCTTGCACAGCACTACTGTCGCCACCATCGTCAGCATCGCCCCAGGTAACAACAGAACCGTCGCCCAGAATGGCCGCAAAAGCGGAGCCGTGGCCGCGAACCTGAAAGCTGCTGAGCTTCAAGGTCAGCGTATCGCCACTCTGCAGGCCAGATTCCTTAAGCGCAGTTGCTGCGTCCAGAACGGAGGAGTCCAGGAGTCTGCCTGTGCCGACTGCCAGAGCCTTCTGTGCTTTGCCACGCAATGCTTTTACAGGCTCGTCCGGTTCTGCTTCCAGTGAAACTGTTCTGCCACTTAGCAAGCTCACCTGAATCAAGAGGGGCATGGTGCTCGCCCGGGCAACCCTCCACTGCTACAAAGCATCCCTTGACACTATTGCGCGCCTGATGTCTGTGGGGCCAGCAGTGACGTGTTTACCTACTCGTGGTGTTTGGCTCGCCATCCCCAACAAAGCTTGAGAGCAAGAACTGACATGTGTATATTTTTGTGCATACGCATACATACTTACATAACTACATCTGCATCTACATCTACATGTAGTGTGCATCATACATACATACATATGTATACATGGTCGGAAGGGGGGGTACAGGGAGACAGGCGCAGAGACTTGTAGAAGAGTTCCCCTCCCACGACCGGTCCGTGAAATTGAACCAGTTGGTGGAAGCCCCACGGCCCTCGGGGGTCGCGTAGTCCGTCTGCTGGCTGTGAAGCTCAAACCAGTAGCTGCCTCATCAAGGAGGGGGACTGTAGACCGGGGGGGGCGGCTTAGTAAACATGGTAGACATTGCGCCATGACCTAAGCTGCACACGAGCGTAGCATCATTTCGTCGGTAAGCTGGATTCGAAAGATCTGGCACTAGATTCAGCCCAGGAACCGAGAACTGATCCTTCCAACTTCCATTGGACGGGATCGCGGTCCGGCTCGTCGCTTGCAGTGGTAAAGCGGAAGGCCTGTGCAAAGTAGTGACGCCCCATATAGGGCCCCCCAGAGCTAGACCCCTTGTGCGGAAACGTCTCACTGGCAGGGTTTTGGGGCCAAGCCTCCACCAGCTCGGAAGTTGGAAGCTGCACCACCAATGGAGCTTGTTTGTAATCGAACCACTTGGTGGAAGAGGAGCCGTCGATGGCCTCGCTGGGTCCTGCAGCCCGGGTGCAGCCGACAAAACGTCAACAAAAGGCAGGCAGGGTCTCGCCCGCACGCCGCGATACACCCTCTACACATGCCCCCGCGATACTGCTTAATAGGCAAGCATGAGATCCCTCGGGCGGAGTTCGGAGCATTGTCCTTCCCCAGCGGGATTGATGCCACCTGAGCAAAGCGCAGGCTCCCAAACTGATTCACCAGAAGCCGTGCAGCCTCGCGGGTTCATTTGCCATCCAGGGGGCAGGCTTCAGCTACTGTAGTGGGTCCGAGTTTAGCAAGTGCCGGGCTTAACACACCGAACCTGCCCAAACCCAAACTGTGCCTTCAGGGCACTCTCTGCCTCCGGGCAGCCTTCCCAACCAAAGCTCACTTCCACGCACCCTTCTCTCTAGGTCTAAGACTCCGGGGGGTAGTCCCATGCAAGAACTTGCCACCCCTGCGAATTCATTGTGTGCAGCCAAATATCCCTAGAATATAGCCTGCAATCACAGCCGAGCCGGAGGCTCCAAAAAATTTCGGCTGCGCCCGTGGTCCATCACCGTAGGTGCTTGAGCCCTTGCGGCCTAGAGCTTTAGCTAACCCGGTGGCATAGGCCGACCCAGTTGGGAAGCCAAGATTCGCCTCATCTTTCAGGTGCGTGGAAATTGGCATCCGCATTTTTGCTCACGCAGTTGTGTCGAGGGGTGGCTCCTGCGTTTCTTTTGGAGCACCTGCACGGAGGTCCTTGAAGCGAACCCCGTTTTCCGATTTTGGGGCCCATAACGAAACTCCGATTCTTTCGAGCCCAAAAAGTGAACATGTTTTTTTCGCAACTTATGGGTGCTCTGGGGTGCTCTGGGGTTCGAGCGCCCCTGCAGTACAGTACAGGCCACGCGTAGCAGCCGGCTGCGGCGGCGGGCTCCGTATGATTTGCAAGATGCAAGGCACAAGCTTGAGTGGATTTCGCATTCTCGCCCGGAGCCCTGGTTCCACTTGTTTCCTCCTTGGGGCTTAAAATATGCCTGCCAAGCGGCCGTCGTTGCTTGCGGAAGCCCCTGAAAGGGACACCACGACGCCCGCCACGCGGAACTCGATCTCAGCGATCTGCACGCCTCTCCAAGAACGAAGTGAGTGTGTAGTTCATTGGGGGGGAGAATCAGGAGGTGACTCGGTGGCTCAAATTCTCGGATCCTTCGGTCATTTCCAAGCTTGGGCGACACAGCGGCCACCTTTGTCGAAATGCCCTGAATCCTTTCCCATGAACGACGCCAAAGCCTGTGGCCGCCGTGTCGTTACGCAATGCAAGGGCGGTGAAGCGCAGGTACTGGAACGAAGTGACCTAGCGAGAGGCCGCGAGAGGACGCGGGCGTGACTCCGGTTCCTTCGGTTCAGTGCCTCCCCTGCCCTGTACACTCTGCATTGCTGCAAGACTTCATACGCAAAGCCACAATTCACAAATGCTGTAGCTTCTGGTCATTTTGGGGTTGCATGCCAGGAAGGAAAGAGAGAGCTACGGACTTGCTTTGGCGCTTGAAGCCCAGGCTAGGACCTCTGGGGCCTTAGGGGAGCTAATATGAAAGAGTTCTGAAAGTCTCTTCGGAAGGGCCTGATAGTTCAAGAGCACGCGGTTCACGCCGAGGGCGTCGTCAGCCAAGTACAGGCGGTAGTGCCTTCGCAAACCCAGGATGCGTCTTCAGTTGGCTCCTGTAGTAATTGGGGGCTTGCAGGTTGAGCGGGATGTGGAGTGCCGCTGTCGCGCCAAAGCCGTGATGCCTCTGCTTTATTCTGCTTTTCATGTGTCCTCCCAGACTTACAACGCCCGAGCTTAGCTAACATGTGTCCATGGGACATGGCAAATACCCTTGAGACTCACACCCATTGTGCAGTTAGTAAGGCTAGACAAACTCCCTATGCACTCGAGTCCCAGGGCTGCATGCAGGGCATAAACTCAACAGCCTATATGCGTCTACGCTCTGCACTGCATTACAGCCCTACTAGAAGCACTAAAGGTCGATAAGCCTGTTAAGTATTGACAACAACCCTAGCCCCAACAGGGAGAAGGGGCAATCCGAAACCCCAACACCCTCAAACCGGCCCAAAACTGTACAACCCTCCACTGTATCACCCGAAACACTGTGAAGCCCAAGCACCGCCCACCCTAGCACCCCTGGAGCCCAAAACGGCCCCAAACCCAAAAACCACAGGGCGAGTCGTGGGGGGGGGGGTCTATCCGGGGCCCTGGCAAGGCCCGGTTGACGCCGGCAGGGCCGAAGTAGGTGGGCTCAATCCTGGAGGCGATATGATTGCTCCAATCTTGGGTCTTGGACGTTGATTTTCGGAAGCTGGTGGTCGTTTAGGGCTTCGCTTGTGCAAGAGCCGGTCCATGAGATGCGGCCGCCGATCTCCCAGCCATCCAGGTCCTGCATGTGGAGAAGAATGAGAGTTCAGGAAATCCCCTAAAAGTAGCCTCAAGAGAAACCCAGTTAACTCCCTGTCCACCTAAACCCCCAACACCAACTTTTGTGGGGCTGGACGGCGCTGCTGCAACCGACAAGTATCTCCATCCTTGTCCACGAAGGCCACGGCAGATGCACTGGCCTCAAAAGCGGGGTGCTGCTAAAGCTCAAGCTGCAGAGTGCGAAGGTCCGAACCTCCTTGAGCTCTCCCTTTTTGGGGGCTGGGGGACTTGCGAGGCTGGGGACTGCTGCTTGCTCTCCTCGTCAATACCCTAAACAAGCTGACGCGCGCCTGTGCATCGAGCACCGGGATGACTTGGGGAGTGCTCTGCTCACCTCCACTCACGAGGCATGCTTGCGGGGTGTGGGGGGTGGCGTATGGTCGTTTTGGGGGTGTACACCACGGATTTTAGCTCGGAATTTTGCTGCAGGATTCCTAGAACTGAGTGAGTTCATGATGGGGTGAGGGGGGTTCATGGCTTTGGGCTTGCTTGGATTTATCTTTTCGCTTGGGGTGAGGCTTGACCTCGGAGCGTTGGTGCAAGCTTGAAGAGTTCCGGAAGGGGGGCTCTCGCAATGTTGTTCGACTCAGAAACTTCGAGTCAGGCAGGAGGATGCAGAAGAAATGCTGCTTGAACACCATGAAGGAATACAATCAGGCTCCTTGGGGGTACTGCGTGCCTCAACATCTCAGGCATGGTCGATCAACAGGAGAGCAAGCTCCATCAACGCAGTTGTCTCGACCCCAAGATCGAAGACCAAGCTCTTCACATGCCGAGCGTCTGAAGCTCGACTGGATGAAGAACATGATGTGGGTGTATTGCTGGAGGCTGCTGTCCTTGGAGGGGGTCGAAGCTGAGGCATTCAGGCATTCAAGGGGCCTTAAGCTTTCAGGCCCGGGTGAGGTTTCTTTTGCTGTCGCCTAGGCGCGGGCGAGCTCGCCGTCCTGGAACTTTTTGTTTCTTCTGGGCATGCAAAAGGCGAAACTGTCATCGCTTTTGGATCTGGGCTCACGAAATGTGGAACCGTCGACGCTTTTGAACTTCTAGGTTCACTATGCTGCCACAGTTTGTAAGTATTTCGTTGTTGCTTGTATGACGTATATGCCGTATATGCACACCCCCCCCCCCCCCCCATGCACCCAAAGTTGGGCTAGGGACCGCTGGGACCAAGGAGGCGTTCGAGGTGGTGATGTTGTCGCCCACCTAAGCTGCAGCAAAGGAAGCAAAAGGGCAAAGATCTGCAAAACTAGGCCTTGAATCCACAAATCCCCAACTCAGCACTTTGCAATCTCAAACTCGGGTCGATTTCGGAGATGTCTGCCATGCACAAACGGCTGTGTCATCCAGTGCTTGCATCAATCTCAACTGAGAACTGCAAGACTACTTCCTGATTCCGGTCTAAAGGCAACTTTGTGCATGTTAGGGATGTTTAGGGATTCAGGGTCTACGAGCAGGCTTTCGGGCTTTGGGTTTTGTAGAGATCGGGCTCGGGATGCCCACAGCCACTGCGGGTTGAATCTGACTTCTAGGCATCGAGAGCACATCGGAATCATCGGAGCATGGATCCCTTCAAAACCTTCAGGGATCCGTCGCCTCAGCCTCATCGTGGAAGGTTCGCCAGACCCACGCGCCATTGTAGTAGATCCTCTGCAAAGCTTCTTCCGTGAATGGCGCGGAAGGCAGGCTTGATAGTGCTGTGCTCTTTTGTTGGATCACTTGCACAGCGACGCTACTTGTTCTGAGGTGGACTCACTAACAGAACAAAAAAGGAAAGGAGCTCTCAAGAATGCTCAGCATCTGTGTGAGCAGCAGTCCTCAGCGGGCGGTTCCCCCCCCACACAGGCTTGCAAGCTTTGAGGCTCTAATCAAGATGCTCAGTGGACAGAGAACATCGCGTCGGCAGTGTCAGCTGGGAAATTCTTTCTTTTGAGGCTTCTGGGAATTTGGTGTCCAACACTCACTCTGAAGTTTCCTCCTTCTCCGTTGATTTACAGAATACGTAGACTGACTGCAAAACGCGCACAGTACTTCCGAAAAGTAGCTTCCTGCAACACATTGCGCGCTGACCAAAACACGGGTCGAGCTCTGCCGTTCGATGATATAGCATGATACTGGTGAACGGCGAATGAGCGATTAACGTGTACAGCACTTCCATTCTCAGCAACTTTGAGCTTAGCTTCTTCCCAGGAAAGTTGTGGTCGTGGTCGTGGTCGTACTGGAAGTTGTAGTCGTGGAGGTAATGGAGCTTGTGGTGGTGGAGGTGATTGAGGTCGACGTGGATGTCGTAGATGTTGAACTTGTGGACGACGTTGTCGTGGATGTTGCCTGGGCTTGGAAGATTCGACCAGAAACTGGTGCAGCACCAGATACACATATGCATTGAGCTCGTATCTTGAGATAGAGATTGTTGAACACAAACATGGGTTTGGGGTCTTTCGTTCACATCCCCATGACCTGAGGCCATAGGGGAAATGACCGTCGGAGGCGGAAACATAATATTTTCAAGCATCTATGACGACGTCGAACTGGGCTGGAACGTGGACATTGCTGAGTCCAAATGTCGCTGAAAGCTCAGCTTCCACACTTTGGGGCTGTCAATGTTACCAAGTCAATTTCACTTGCGCCAACTCAAGTTTGTAGCCTGCCAGCTTGACTTGGCGCTTCTGATGAATTCTAATGTGTGCGAGGCAATGGATCTGTCGTCAACTGAGCCACTGAGCCACATAGGTCAACTCTCAAGTCCCGAAATCCCGAAGCGTTGAATATAGATTCCTTCAACGTCGCTGCTCTGGCCCATGTTTCAGGGGTTGCAGGCGTTGCGTTGCAATTGCAGAAGCTTCAAACTCTGGTCGCGCATGCGGGCGAGAATCTGTCGTGCTCGTAGAAGTGGTCGATGTACCTTGACGATTCTTTTGAGACTTCAAGCACACGAAGATCCAGGGGGCACAGGGTGGCAGCAGTGTAGCTGATCCGAATGGACTCTTCCAAGGTGCTGGAGGTCGTGGTGCTAGAGGTAGATGTGGAGGTGCTTGAAGTGGTGCTTGTGGAAGTGGTCGAGGATGCTGGGATACGTGGGACGCATGCGGCACTGGGAGTTTAGGGGCGGTCTAGGCAACTCAAAGATCCCTGGCACTCTTGGAAAGGACCCTACAGCAAAGGCACTGGTGGACGTAGTGGATGAACTCGTGGTTGAAGTTGTGGTAGTTGACTTTGTAGATGTTGTGGTGGTCGTCTTTGTTATTGACGAGGTGGTTGTAGATGTTGCGGTTTTCGATGTTGTTGTCATTGTGATGGACGATGACGTCGACGTGGTTTGCGTCACTGACGACGATGTAGAAGTGGTCCTGCGACTGCTGTCATCCTGAACTTACTTGCTCTTAATTCCTTGCTCTGAGAGCGTTAGCTGTGCACCATCCTCGTCTCGGTCGTTGAAGATGTTGTGATTGAGGATGATGTTGAGGTTGTGCGTGTCACCTCAGAGCATTATCACGTCAGTACACCATGCACCGGCAAGCTGCCGGTGTTGCAGAAGAAGAACTTGATGTCCAAGCATGTCCAAGCCACACTCGTTGAGCTTGTCGAGGTCGTGCTGGTCGTCGTCGTGGAGACTGATGTCGTGGATGTGCTCGTGCTGGTGGTGCCTCAGCAGCACAGAAGCCAGACAGGAGAAGAAGAGTGACAAGCATGAGCCCACCTATCACACGCACGCAAGCCATACGCATGCCAGTCACGTGCCATTTCAAGACTTTCTGCAAAACTCCGCGCGGTTCGGTGCGCCCCTTTGAGCCCCAAAACCGCCCCTTCTGGCCGGATTTGACTGAAGACTTCGGCGTGGCCCGGGAGTAACACAAGGAGCCCAATTTTCTGAGGATGAGCAAGGCACTGGTGGATGACGTGGAGGTGGAGGTCGAGCTTGTTGAGGTTGATGTCACCTCTACAATATTCTACAATCGATCCTTCTGCCACGTGATTTGCCCTTGTGAGGATAAAAGCAGATCTGCTCTTGGGTTTAACGATGGAGAGTCAAAGCGTGTGACTCCGGCCATTGCCTGGTGATAGAATTGAACCCTCTGCGAGCCATCTGATTTAAGAATTTACGGATTCCATTCGGAACTGGCTACTGTACATAGAAAGCAGCAAGTCTTGGACGAGCTGCCTGGGATGCGACTGACTCAACCCATCTCACCCCTAAACCCGTGGACTCCGATCGGAAGCCAGCACTCTCAACTCCAAATCCTTGACCCACTATTGTCAGCAAAAGGCGGAGGAAGACGTGGATGTGGTCCTTGTTACCTTCGCTGAAGGCTACTTTTGTATTGTTCGGGCATTGAGGGATAGTTGGGGCGTGACACCGAGGTGATGTCGGGGATGAGAAAAGCCCTAAGAGCCAAATACGTTCCTCGGTTCACAAGGTTTGTAGATTTTGCCACTTGGCTGTGTAAGCGTTTAAGTCGTTTGGCATAGACATACATATAGACAGTCGGCTCAGTCGGTTGAGCTTAAGTTGCCGAAGTCGTAGACGTCTTTGATGTGCTGGTGGACGTCGTCGAAGTAGAGGTCGTGGAGCTCGACGTACTCGTTGTGCTAGTGGTAGAAGTGGACGTTGTGGATGTTGTGGTGCTTGTGGAAACCTGGTGCCACCAGAAATGGCGGGGAACATCGCGGAGAGCATCTTAACATAAGTTCTGGCTGCCCTGCACATGCTCAACATACTTTTTGATTCGAGGAACGGTTGACGAGGTGGTGGTGCTGGTGGCACTCGTTGACGTAGCAGAGGTACTGCTGCTCGTACTGCCTTGGATGCACGTTTCGACAATGTTTTTTTGTTGCTGCTTGGGCTGATTCGTAGGCAAGGTCAAGACATGATTCTTAAGAACACCCAAGTTGCTTGTGGTGGAAGTAACTGTTGCTGTAGTGCTTGTGGTTGAGCTGACCGTGCTGCTCGTCGTCTTGGCAGCCAGAGTGGCTTTGAGCAATGCGAGAACTCTTCGCTCGCAAAAACTGGTTTAGGGAGCTACACGCATGTCCAAAACGTCATCTACAAAGACAGAAGGCTGAAAGGGTTTCCAAATGTTGCCAAAGGCAACGGAATGGTGCGTGATCACATGCCAGCAACACTCGACATGATATCATTCAGGACACCACGAGCTTCTGTCCGAGCAGCTGTCGATGTGGCAGTAGTCGATGATGTGGACCTACAGCAAGCAACAGTACTACCGCTTAAGGCTAAAGTGTCCATTGCAAGATCCACAGAATGTTCAGACACGGATGATTGCCAGCACTTACGCATCTGAGGCTGTCACGTCGTCGACGTTGATGTACTGGTGACCTCAGTGCGAGAGCATTGTGGGTCTGCAACACCCTGACTCCCGCGCCACCTGAACATCCCCCCCCTGAGGTCCTCAATGCCCCCAATCAGAACATCGACATCGTCTGAGTCGGCTGCGCTGGTGCTCGTGGTCGAGCTCACGGTGCTGCTCGTCGACTTAGAAGGTACGGATGATTGCGGTTTCGGGGTGCCCTAGAGCCGCAGCAGTGCAGCCGAAAGAAACCTGGACTTGCGAAATCCTGAAACTTTCAGCTAACTTGATGTGGCAGGACGGCTTCACTCCAAGCTGCCGTGGATGTGAAGGAAGTTGTTGACGTCAAGCTGGCAGGCAGACAGTCACCGGAAAAGTCATGAATTCGACCCAGAGAAAGGGCAGGTTAGCATGCCATAATCGGGGGCTTCTATGCGGGATGACACTCAGCTCAGAAATTCTTGGCATGTCCGGATGTCTATGTCTGAACGATCTGAACGATCAGAACATAAGGACGGCACGTCTTCGATGTCGATGTGCTGGTGGTCTCAGTGAGCATGCTGTCAGGTCAACACTACTCAGAGCGTGAACAGCACAGCCATCACCGTCAGGACCACTGTCATCAGAAACATCAACCTAAACTCAAAAGCCCGCCAAGCCCACCAATTGAGCTTCCTCCGGGATAGTGGGGCAACAGAGCTGTCCAAGTCGCACTCGTCGTGCTCGTGGACGTTGAAGTTGTCAAAGTGGTGGAAGACGAAGTGGTGGAGGAGGAGCTGGTGGTGGACGAAATGGTGGACGACGAAGTGATGGATGTCGATGTTGTCGTGGAGGACACAGAGGTGGTGGATGTCAATGTGAAAGAAGTTGAGGTGACAGTGGCAGTGGTCGATGTAGTCACAGTGCCTTTGAAGGTCGAAATCCCACAACACCCCGAAACCTCTGTGAACATCCCAAGAACAGCTCGCCACTAAGCCTTAAGACTGCGCATGTAACGGTCTCTCTCCACCCAGCTGATGGCCTAAAGCAGCTCAAGGCAGAAAAAAAGATTCTGAAGGTGATTTTTGCCACAGCCACTGGTAGAAGACACTGTGCTACTTGTAGACAGAGACGTGGTCGATGATGCCGAAGATGTGGTGGTTGACGACTGCGTTGCAGAAGAGCTGGTGGATGTTGTAGCAGTCGCTGACGTTGATGTGCTCGTGGCGGATGATGACGTTGATGTGGTCTGTGTCGCTGTCGAAGATGTAGAGGTTGTCCCGGTCACAGTTGTAGAGGAGGTCGTGACTGAGGACGATGTTGAGGTTGTGCCCGTCACCTCAAGCCCATCAGCAGTTGTGATCATGTCGTTGCGCAGTCGGCAAAAGCAAATCAGATGCGAAAACAGAACCCATCTGACTGCATGAGCCGCCTAGTGTGAGGATGAGTACTCAACGAGAGTTTTTGTGTGTGGTCGATGTCACGCAAGAATACACAAGGGAACACAGCTTGAGCGCGAACAAGATCTGCTTCAGCGCAGCTTTGGCACCTTTGGCTAACGCTCATTTAGGTTAGCCTTTGCTAAAGAAGTGTGAAAAGGCGGAAATGTTGCGATAAGAGCTGGCATCATCTCTTGCTTGTATCTCTATGTGTCTATTGAGAGATCTAGAGCCTGAACCGTGGCAGCAAAACGCACATTCCCAGACGCCTACTCCGTAACTTCTAAATTTTCTAACCGCTGGTAACCGGCACATCTGCTCCACCCAAGCCCCGCCCAACATCCAGACGCAAGCTGTATAGGCTTTAGGGACTTTGGGTCGCATTGGAGGCTCAAGCCACGGTGGTTGAGGAGGTTGCTGTCGAGGTTGTTGTCCTGCTTGTGGAAGAGCTTGTGGTTGAGACCTTTGTTCTGGCAGCTTTACGGCGAATTCAGGGCCCGGACTAAGAGAGAAACTGAGGGCGGCCGCGAAAACTTAGATGGGACCGCCCGCCCCTTCCCTACGATAGCCCCACTGTGGTTGTTGAGGAACTGCGGTAACCAGCTATACAAGCATGTTGGCTCTGCCTGCAAGGCCGCGATTTTGAAGGCAGCGGCGCGGGGCGATCCACCACACGTTGCAAAATTAAACTAAACTAAGCATCTCATCAAGCATCGCTCTGGCGAGACGAAACCTACGGACTCGCCAAAGACGCTATGCTTTGAGCCCGCACTGCAGCAGAGCTGCCGAAGTCGAGGAGGACACCGTGGAAGAGGAAGTGAGCGTGGCCGTCGCGGAGGTGCTTGAGGAAACCTCACACCCGCAGACGTCCCACCACAACAGCCCTTGACACTGTTGACACCTCGACTTCCCCGAAAGGATGCGTTGCCTTTGCCGCAAAAAGCCCAAGCACCTCCGACACCAACTTATAGTCCTATAGTCCCCTTGCAGACCCTGATGGCATAAGTTGGGGAATCTTGAAGGGGCGGCATCGCGCAGACTTTCAACCAAGCCAGAGCTGCTGAGGTGGATGATGTCACGCTGGTGGCCGTCGCCGAGGCTGTCGTGCTGGTGGAGGCCTTCGCATGCGTGGCACAAGGAACACATGGCACAGGCTCTGTTAAAGATGTTACGCATTCTTACGCTGCCACCAACTGAAATCTCTGACGTAGTGCCAAGTGACCGATGATGTGGTGCTCGAGCTGGTGGCACTGGATGAAGTGCTTGTGCTGACGGTGACGCTCGTCGACTTAGAGTTGCCACAGGTGGCAATTCTGGAACGGGCCATTGGCATCTGATAGGCCCGTAAAAGCCACATAGCAGCGACAGTATGTGACAGTAACTACTACCAGCCCCGGCTGGCTGCACGCCAGGCAGCGCTTGTTCCAGTGACACTCGATGAGGTGCTTGTGCTGACACTGATGCTGGTCGACTTAGAATCGGCCCGAGATGCGATCCAATTCGCCCGACAACGCAAGGCACCACAAAAACAGTGATACTACATGATACTACTCTTGGCCACTGGTGGTTGCACACCAAGCAACGCTCGTTCGGGTGGTCGTGCTCGTCACACTGGAGGATGTGCTCGCGGTGATGCTCGTGGACTGA